GGCAGAGTCCACAGGGAGCTTGACTGCTAATCAGCTCCTAGAGGTAGTGCCTCTGGCAGCTCAAAGCCACCCCAGGCTCCAAGGGAGAAAAAGAGGCAATCTTCTCCTGCGTGATTTACAGGCTCAAAAAAGCTGCTAGAGAGTTAGCTATGAGTTGGTTTCAACTAGAAAATAATGAGGTTTTGAGTGAAACCCCAGCCAAGGTATTTTCAATTGCTTTATACAGATGTGAAAGTTGGACAGTGAATAAGGAAGATGGCAGAAACACTGATGTCTTTGAATCGTGGTGTTGGTGAAGTGTATTGATTGTACTGTAGACTGTCAAAGAACAAACCAATGTGTCTTGGAAGAGATGTAGCCAGAGGGTTATTGAGAAGAAGAGCAAGAGGAGAAGGAAGAGAGAAAGAGGAGGAGGAGGGGGAAGAGAAGGAGGAGGAGGAGGAGGAAGAGAAGAAGGAGGAGGAGAAGGAGGAAGGGGAGGAAGGAGAAGGAGGAGGAAGAGAAGGAGAAGAAGAAGAGACTGAAGTTTCCTTTCACTTACTTTGAGTATGTTGTCAGGTGAAGCCTTGGGGAAGCACGTCATGCTGGGAAAGGTGGGGGGTCAGAGAAAGATAAGACCTTTCCCCAGACGGATTAACGCTAGTTCACTGATGGGCTGGAGGACAGCAGAGATCTTGAGGATGGACTCGGATTGGGCAGGATTTTAATCTCTTCTACACAGGGTCACTCTGAGTCAGGGTGGATTTGATAACATTTAACAACATCAACCACAACATACCTATCTATGTAACAGAGCACATGGAGATAAAATTGTGGAAACTTCCCAGATCTATCCAAACACCTGATGGGATACATTTCTGGGTTTGAAGGATCAAGACCATTTGTCTTGGTCAAGTAGCCCAAGACAGGTTATAAAGATACATTTAGTTTTACAATTTTATTGTTACATAATTTTTTTCCATACTTCTACACCTTAGGGAGCTCTGGGGCCTAGTGAGTAAAGAGTTGTGCTGATAACCCCAAGGTGGGAGGTTCAAATCCACCAGCTGCTGCACAGGAGAAAGATGAGCAATCTCGTCCCATGTGATTCACAACTTCTGGAGGTCAACCCACTGGAGGGTCAGCTAAGAGTCTGTTCCGGCTCAACAGCAGTGAGCTGGCCATTAGTTGTTCTACACTCTAGACTGGTGGGCAGCTCCTGGGGTATTAAAAGGTTGCAAGCAGTCATCCAAAATACAACTGTTGATTCCTTTCCATGACTAAGGAAAATAAAGGAAATCAATGACTCAAGGAAACAGTCTGTAGAACTGATAAAAAGATGAGCCACAGCCTCGAACAGCCTGAGACCAGAAGACCTAGATGGTGCCCGACTATCATTACCATTCACTCTCACCAGGGACAAAATACAAGAGAAGAGAACACGGAACAAAACTCTAAGCCCTTAAAAAACAAAAACAAAAACAAAAAACCAACCAAAAACAGAACAAAACAACATCAAAAAACCACCGGACTTACTGGACTGATAGGGAGCTCTGGTAGCCTAGTGGCAAGAAGCTGTACTGTAATCCCAAAGTCACACGGTTCAAGGCCACCAGCACCTCGGTGGGAGAAAGATGGGTAATCTCCTGTGCAATTAACTGCCACTGAAAACCCTCCGATGGTCAACAATGAGTGGATTCTGACTCTACGGTACAGAACAATAAATAACAACTGGATTGATAAGAGACTGGAGGAACCCTGGACACTATCACCCTACACAAGCCTTTTAATCTGGAACTAAAGCCACTCCAGGGGTTACCTTTCAACCAAGTAACACTCCGGTATATAAAATACAACAATAACACCCATGAAGACATGTGCTCTTCACAATAATCAACCAGACGAGATCGAACAGGCTCTTTACCTAAAAGCAAAGACGGAAGGTCAGGAAAAGAAAGGGATGGGAATGGGGAAAGGGTTGAGGCACTGCATGTCTAGCAACCGAATTTGCATGAATTGTTGAATGAGAAACTAATTTGCTGTGCAAACTTTCATCTAAAACACAATATTATGCTCCCCCCCCCAAAAAAAGAGACTAGAAAAGCTAAATAGTGCTATAACCATCAGAGTAATTCAACCCTTAATTAAAAATCTTCCTACAAACAAACCCCCAGGCACAGATCACTTTGCCCCCTAAAAAGGAGTGATAAGCAATACTTTGTTGTTGTTGTTGTTGTTATGTGCCTTTGAGTCGATTGCGACTCATAGCGATCCTGTGTACAACAGCCCTAAACTCTGCTCTGTCCTGTGCCAACTGCACTGTCTCCAATACACCCATCCCGATTATCCCAGTCACTGAATCAATCCACCTCATAGAGGGCCTTCCCCTCCTGTGCTGTCTCTCCACCTTACCAAACATGATATCCCTCTCCAAGGACCGGTCCCTCCTTCCAACATGTCCAAAATATGTTAGACAGAGCCTCAGAATCCTTGCTTTCAAGTAGCCGCCCGGTATGACCCTCTCCAGGATGAATCTGTTTGTTTTCCTAGCAGTCCATGGTACCCTCAATACTCTTCTCCAGCACCACAGCTCAAAGGCATCACTTCTCCTTCTATCCTCCCTAGTCAATGTCCAACTCTCTGATACATAACAAGTGATAGCAAAGACCATAACCTATATCAGACGCACCTTAGTCTCCAGGGAGACACCATTGCTCTTCAGTACTCTGGAGAGGTCCCTAACAGCAGACTTTCCCATGGCAATACGTCTTTTAATTTCCTGGCTACTGGTGCTGAGAGTGTTGACTGTGGAGCCAAGCAAACTAAAGCTGTAAGCAATGCTTACAGTCTAATTTATGTATAGTTTTATATCTGCATATATTGTTGTTGTTGTTTTTAGGTGCCGTTGAGTCGTAGATGACTCATAGTGACCCTATGAACGAACGGCCTGAGCACTGTTCATAGAGTTTCCAGAGGCAAGCCATTTCAGAAGTGGATGCCACTCTTGCTTCCAAGCTTGTTTTAATCGGGAAGCTCCACCAAACACTGTCCACTATGGGTAACCATTATCACATTTGGCACATCAGTGTCACAGTGTTTAGCATCCCAGCAACCACAAGTCACCTCTATACAGCAATGCACAGACCAGTGCTATACTGCTTTAAAAGAATATTTGATGAACCAGGCCTGAGGGTCAATTACATATTGTAATTATATGTATGTATGGGATTACACTATGTTGTTATTGTTATTGTATACTGTCGAGTCGGAACAGGCCCATGTGTGTGGGAATGTGGAGGTGCAGAGGCCATGAAGGGGGAGCCCAAGCAATTTCCTAAACTCACACTGTAGTCATAACTTTGAGTGAATCCAAACCCAAAAGAAGGATTTTTTTATTATATTTTTTTAAGCACTTGGGTTAAACCACGCTCCTCCAATGGGTTTTCAGAGGCGGCTAAATGGGCAGGTAGAGATTGCCCATCCTTCTCCCTCAGAGCCTCTGGTGGATTCGAACCTCATCCCTTTAGGATTGCAGTGCAGCTTCTTACCACCAGGCAATCAGAGCTTATTCATATGGTTACTTGGATCATGCAAACACAAAGGAAAACTGCAAAGTTCATCAAATTGGTTATAACGACTTCTAAGAAAGGTAGTGGAGATTTAGGGGTTGCCCCCGCACCTCCATTCCAATTTTTATGAGCGCCTATCTAACTAAGATCGAGAGAGCTTTGGTGGTGTAGTCTGTAGGGAGTTATGCGACTAGTTTAAAGGCAGCATCACTCTGGCAGTTCAGATCCACCAGGGGCCTCCACAGGAGAAAGGCCATCTCCCCTCCCATCTTATTTGCAAGCTCAGAAAATCTGCTGGCGGGTCAGCTGTGAGTGGGTTCTGACTGCAGCTCAAGAGAAAGCACCCACCCAGTTGTCACCGCTTGGAGGCGCCACAGAGTCAGGCCTGACGCATCGGAGCGCTGCCTGGCCAGCCTGCAACCGCCCTCAGCTGTTGTTATGTCCATTGCTACAATCACTATCAATCCATCTCCTGAGTGTCTCCCGCCCTTTCACTGACCCTCTGCTTTTCTCAGCATGAGGTGCCATTTAGTCAATAAACGCCAATCTAAAGGAAAGGCATCTCTCCCCCTCCCACTGTGCCACAGAACAAGAGTCGACCACGCATGTTACACTGTGCATTTATTTACAAAGAGGAACACACAGAAATCTGGCCCCCCTGTGCACCGGGGAGTCACCGTCGTCATAATAAATACAGTAACTTTTAAAAAGAAAAAAAAAATACTGGATTGGAACAGTTGAGGGTCATCCTGAGCTCCCCCCACTCCCTGTCATAAGGGGAGGGGAGAAACAAGATAGATGTCATCCTCTTTCCTCTTTTCCACCCCCCAAGCCCCCATAATTGTCCAGGCGTAGAGGTGAAAGAGTCCTTTTGTTTTTTTTTTTAAATCCCCTAGGTGGTGCCAACTCCTATTTGACCCTCAAAACCCCAAAGTCTGCACTCCTTCCCTTCCCAGGGAACTCTTCAGGCACCAGCTGGGTCAGACACAGAGTCTTTGACCAGGGTGCCAAGAGACACGAAGGGGGGGCACTTTGTGAATGAGAGGGAGTCTCTGAAAGGAGAAATGAGGGGACTGAGCTAGAGAAACCACGCGGAAGAAACAGACTCAGTGTCTAAACGGAAATCGGGAAATTCAAACGGAATTACGCTTTCTGCATTCACGGGCGCCCATTGTACAGATGAGGAAAAGTGAGGCCCAGAAATGAGGGAACTCTCTTGCCCAAGGGCTCCAGAGCCAAGAGTTGAACTGGATCAAAGCAGGCTCCTCTCCCAGACCTCCCTGTGGTGAGAGGGGAGCCTTTTAACCTCTAAGGCTATGGAGAGAAGGGACAGGGGGTCTTTGGAAGCTTGAAAAAACTGTGGTCTTTGGAAGGGAGGTGTAGAAGGGTTAGTGTGTTGGGAGTGTGAAGGTGCAGAGGCCACGGAGAGGGAGCCCAAGCAATCCCCTAAACTCACACTGTAGTCATGACCTTGAGAGAACCCGAACGGAAACGCAGGATCTTTTTCTTAAGCGCATGGGAAGCCTTGATCTTCACAAAGACCTTGGCAGGGCCTGCAGGCGCCCCTCCGCCTGCACCACCTCCTGGCCCTGAGGCCGCGGTGGCCGCCACCAGCTGCTGCGGCCACACAAGGCCACCACTGCCGTCTGAGTCGCTGGATGCAGAACTGAAGGCAGGGGACTCCCCCTCGCTGGCGCTAGATTCGCTCTCCCCATAGCCGCCGCCACCACCGCCAGGTCCCCGGCGTCCGAGGGGCCCCAGCCGCCCAGCCGAGCACTCAGAGTCGCTGCCCGCACAGCCGTAGAGCAGACGGCGCTGAGGAGCAGACGGGGACGGGC